TACGGTGGAAAAATAAAAATGATTATATGATATCAAATATGAGTCAGAAATTACTTTGTTGTTTTTTAATGCATTAGTTAAATGCTTTATTCCAATGTCTTCGATTTTGTTGCGCGAAAGGTCCAGCTCGATAAGTGTCTATATCACAAGGAAAACAATAAACATTAGGATAAATAAACCTAGAACAAATATGATTCGATTTGTTTGTAATACATCGCTTAAGTATTGTATTCCAATATGCCCTATTTGATTGTTTGAAAGTGTTAGTATCGTTAATATCTGTAACAAAAAATAAAGCTTAATATAATAGAAATAAAAACAAATTATTAATCACTTTATTGGTTTGTAATGCATGAGTTAAATGTTTTGTTCCAGTATCTCCGATTGTATTCTCGGAAAGATCCAACTCGATAAGTGTCTATATCACAATGAAACTATAATCGTCAATAAAACAGATAGAGAAATGATGTTACTTCATTGTCGATTAGTGCATCAGTTAAAAACTTCATCGCAATGCCATCAATACTTTTCCCACAAAGATTCATTTTAGTGATTGCCTTCAGAAAAAGATAAACATTTGTTGGAAGGAATTTGCAAGAAAAGAATTACTTTATTATTTCGTATTAGAATTAATTCACTCACAACTGTACAACAGCTACCTGGATTTCCGTAAAGGTTCAATGTGATAAGTGTCTATGTCAAAGAACGATAATACTTAAGACAAAATGAGAAGTGTTAAAAGTTTACTTTGTTTTCTTTGAATGCATCATGCAGATATTGTGCTCCATTATTTTCGATTTGATTGTAGGAGAGGTCAAGAATAGTGAGTACCTACGGAAGAATAGTAAAAACGATTATGCTATCGAACATGAGTTGGCTATCACTTTGTTGTTTTTTAATGCATTAGTTAAATGCTTTATTCCAATGTCTTCGATTTTATTCCGCGAAAGTTCCAACTCGATAAGCGTCTATATCACAAGGAAAACAATAAACATTAGGATAAACAAACCTAGAACAAATATCACTTGATTTGTTTGTAATACATCGCTTAAGTATTGTATTCCAATATGCCCTATTTGATTCATCGAAAGTTTTAGTATCGTTAATGTCTGTAACAAAAAATAAAGCTTAATATAATAGAAATGAACACAAATTATTAATCACTTTATTGTCTTGTAATGCATGAGTTAAATGTTTTGTTCCAGTATCTCCGATTGTATTCTCGGAAAGATCCAACTCGATAAGTATCTATATCACAATGAAACTATAATCATCAATGAAACAAATAGAGAAATGATGTTACTTCATTGTCGATTAGTGCATCAGTTAAAAACTTCATCGCAATGTCATCGATACTCTTCCCACAAAGATCCATTTTAGTGATTGTCTTTAGAAAGAGGTAAACATGTGTTAGAAGGAATTTGGAAGAAAAGAATTACTTTATCATTTCGTATTTGAATTGCTGCACTCACAATTGTACAATAGCTACCAGGATTTCCGTCGAGGTTCAGTTTGATAAGTACCTATGTCAAAGAATGAGGATACTTAAGACAAATGAGAAGTGTTGAAGGTTCACTTTGTTTGCTTTGAAGGCATCATTAAGATACTGTGCTCCATTGTTTCCGATCCAATTGCTGGAAAGGTCTAGAGTGGTAAGCGTCTATGTATAAAGTAAGAAATAAGTATAATTTAATTGAGTCTAAGAAATATCGAACTTGACAGTTTTGTAATGTGTCAGCCAAATACTGTGCTCCAATGTCTCCAATCTCATTATATGAAAGATCAACTGCAGTTAATGTCTGAATGATAAATAAAACGTAAATTTCAGTGAAATGAATCTGAAAAATATGTCACTTTGTAGTTTAGTAGCGCCACAGCCACAGGTTGTATCGGACTGTCTCCAATTTGATTGTCAGAAATAATTAATTCAGAGGATGCCTATGTGAAAACATAACCATATACATCATGAAATGCAAACGAGAGTGAAGAATCATAGATGAAATCGGTACTGAAACTCGTCACAATAGATTGTCACCTATATGATCTTGTGTAAAATACGATTAAGGTCTATGCGTATTTTTTCGTTCGGCTGAAATGATATAATTTGGTTATGCTATTTGAGTGAAAATGAAAGTATCCTTGGCGAAATGCCTATATTTCGTATATGTTCAAGCTTGATTCTAAAAGTAGATATTCTACTATACAAAAATATCTCATAAGAGAAAATTGTGAGATGTAAGATGTAACAAAAAATATGGATATCCTTAGCTGAAACGCATATGACTATATTCATATAAGAAAGGGGAACCGAAACGATGAGCACAGGAAAGTTAAGCACAAATAAAATAAAATAAGTCTGATCTCTTATAGAAGATCAATCGAGGATGGGTGTGAGTAACGGTGTGGGTATGAGTATAGGTGTCGGTTTACATGCGATTCCATGTAGGTGTGAATGTGGCTGTGGGTATGATTGTGGGTGTGAGCGGGTGTGACTGTAAATATTATATTTTTTTTGTAATTAACATATACATCCACACAAACCCCACTCACACCCATCCTTGATTGATCTTCTATAAGAAATCAGACTTATTTTATTTTATTTGTGCTTAACTTTTCTGTGCTCATCGTTCGCCAGCACATAAGAAAGTTGTATTAGACTTACCTCTCCTTCGACGTTATAGATCACATTGTAATTTTGATGCAAAAATAAGCGACATTCAGGGTTTGTTAACGGTACTACAAATACAGAAGATCTTGTTCTGGCATCAACCTGTATACGGATTGGTTTTGTATAAAGGATAATTTTCCATTGTCGTAAAAGATAATCACAACTAACAAACCATTTTTTGTTGTTGAGCCAGAACGGACTTTGAAATGGTAAGATAAGTGAATCGAAAGAAGTGATGTCATCCAATCTCTTGCTAGTACAAGTGAAAGAAAATTGAAATTGATTCAGTAAAAGTAGTTTCTCTTGAATGAATTGTTCCCAATAAGAACCATCAAATATCGAATCAAATGTCGATCTAGATGAAACCAGTTTCAGATGACTAAGCGACGGTGTCAATGAAAGAAGGCATTCAAGTTCTTGGGTTGATAGGCTACAGTTGCCAATAGTCAATGAAACCAATTGCGGATACACTATTATATCAAAGCATACAGTATGTAATATTTAAATAGCTGATTCTTTCGTTTTGACTTTTTATCTTCTAACATATTTTTAAAAACCTGAGCCTTACAATTTGTTGACACAGATGATCGAACTTTCTTTAAGTTGTATTTAATTATCTTTCATAAAAAAATTCAATATATAGTCAAAAATTGGGTCTACTTCATTTTTTACTAGTTAACCTGGATTTGATAGAAAATTAAAAATGTTCGAGAACATGATGAGCTAAAAAATGTTCAAGTGAAGTTGAGGGAGAGTGGAAATGTTTTTCTTCGATATGTTTATTTCATAAAATATTCGTGTGGATATTTTTCATTAGTAGCTATTGGTTTTGCCGAAAGAAAAAACATCGAAATAAAGTGTCGAATTTGGGGATGAAAACAATATTGGTGTGCTAAAGATACTTTCAGTATTTTATCTGTCAACATTTTATCTTTCGATATTTTCATTATCCTAGGCGTCTATGCAAAAACTTTTCAATTAGAACTTTTTCGTGTTACTGATTTAGATTTCGAAACCAGTTCGAATAATGAAATGTGCTTTATACCCCATCTCTTTGATTAACCTACGATTACTGTATTGTATAAAATAAGCTTACGAGGGAACCTCCCCAACTGTCGGAACGCTTTGAAGTTCGGGTTCCGTGCATTAAGTAGATCCCAGTGAGGTATGAAAAACCCTAAAACGATAAGTGCCCATGGGCCTTCTATCCCGAGTTATAGACGATATACTGAAATTTTAGCCTATGTGGCATGGCATATATAAATAAATCGAATGACGGTATTTCGACCTGAGATTTTGCCCATAGAGAGGTCTATTAGTGACTAGATTACCCTGAAAATTTCAGCTAAAAAGAATGTTTCGTTCTCGAGATAGTAAAGTATCAAAAAATTGCCGATATCCCACGAAAGATACTAGAATTGCGTATATTTTGAGATTTTAATATCTCGAGAACGAAACATTCTTTTTAGCTGAAATTTTCAGGGTATTCTAGTCACTAATAGACCTCTCTATGGGCAAAATCTCAGGTCGGAATATCGTCATTCGATTTATTTATATATGCCATGCCACATAGGCTAAAATTTCAGTATATCGTCTATAACTCGGGATAGAAGGCCCATGGGCACTTATCGTTTTAGGGTTTTTCATACCTCACTGGGATCTACTTAATGCACGGAACCCGAACTTCAAAGCGTTCCGACAGTTGGGGAGGTTCCCTCGTTAGTTGTATTTGAACAAATGATTCATGCTCTATATAGAGAATACATATGTAAGTATAGCGCAGTCTAATAGAGCAAAGTAGAAATCGATAGAATTGTTTTGTTAAGTGAAAACTGTCCTAAATGTTACTAGCCGTTTGGACTCATTTAGTCGGATCATAGCTTGATTGAAAAGATCCATGCGAACAAACACTTTCAGACTAGTACAAGTCTCAAGGAAATCTTTTGTGAGCCTAAAACAAGTTCGAACGATGGGTATCTCTATATCATCATTGTAATGGCTTAAAGAGTCTATTTTACGATGCAGTACACTCGAAGGGAGCCAGGACTTTTATTCAAGGAGTTTTCCGGTTAGACTGAGCTAAATCCGAACTTTAAGTATCCGAAAAGAGTTGCTACTATACGATGAAATAAATGATGTTTGAAAGATGCACATTTAACTCTACCTGGAGAATCGAATGTTGTAAGTGCATATGAAGAAACTGTTTGATCATTCTTGCCCATAATACAGTTTCTAATAACAAGTGTTCTTAGACGAAGTGAATTACAGAGAATGATACGATATTGGTGATAAGAACAATCTCTGATTGCCAGGTGTTCTAATGTATTTTGAATAGGCCACGTTATTTGGTTATTTGTATAATTTAGATCATTTAAACGTAGTTTTTGAAGATTAGTTTGAACGACAATTGAAAAGATAATTGACAAGTTTGTATTGTCCGATAGCCCATACATATTGACTGTCAGTGAGACTAGAGAATTAATGGGAACATGTTGGAAAAATTTGTTCATTTGATTGCAGTTGGCTCTATCAAAAGTCAATGAACGAAGTTTACTAAATTTGCTAATGTTGACATTCGACAAAAAATGTTGAATGAACCAGTGGAGGCCCTTGCGACCACAAAATATAAGTGAAATGACGTTAAAAGGTTGAATGAGACGAAAACAAATTTTAAAGGAAGAATTTCTCTTTGAACTAGGGTTGAATTCGAAACGATTATAGAAGTTCACAGCTGCATGAAGTTGTCTGCAAACCGGACGGATTGAAAGAACAATGGTGTACGCATCGAGATGATCAAAGATACAATGCAGAACTTCAACAGGCAAACAGACAAGCGGTGAGTCTGGCATTTATCTAAAACCTTAGAATAAATTAAAAAGTTCTAGACTAAGCGGTTACTCTATCGGGTATGAGTGTGGGTGAGGAAGCCAACAATGCTCAACCCACACCCTCTGAATTTAAGAAAGTTAAAAATCGAAGAAATGAAGAGTAGGCTGAGAACTTATCGAGAGAGTATGGGTGAGAATATTTTACTCATATCCACGCCCGCACCCTATTACATTCTTTGAGTTCCGTCGATTCTAGTTGGTTTATAGATTCACAAATCACCAAAAGTTCAGAACTTGCAGAGATCTCTTTTTTACCAATGATTTAAATTTAAAACTTACCCAAATGGACTTATTTAAATCGAATGATTTAAAAAATTCTAATAGTTTGTAAATTTCGGATGGTATTGTGTGTGTATGTGCGTGTGTAACTGAAATTTCTTTTCGCGGAATGATTCTTCTCGTTTATTTTATGAAGTAAAAACAGTTGTGGGTTTTTTTTCTTTTTTTTTCCAACTGCGCATTTTATTGCAAAAGAAACTGAAGATTGACAAAAAAAACCCATTGACGGTCCACAATACACAAGAAATGTTATTCGAAAGAAAGAGAAAAAGAATTCATATGAAATGTATTAGATTTAAGTGCTGTGCAATTAGACATTGTTGATATAAAACTGTAGTCTTCTTAGTGAAAAATAAATATCTCTTCGAACTACGAACAAAAAAATCTGATGTAATTGAGGGAATTATGTTATTTGCCTAAATGTATTGATAGGCAGAACATTTGAGGGTAGTTGGGTGTGGGTATTCTATTCATTCCTAACCCAGACTTACATCCTTAAATAATTCTAATATTTTGTGTTTGATTATTTATTAATAATTAATCCTATAATTGTCAAAATTTATTTTTCTATTTGTTAATATTAATTAGGAGACATCGTCAGATATTATAAAAAAACATTGCATTCTCTAACCTGTCAATCTTTGTTCGATCGATTTCAACCAGTTGAATGAATTTCGTCCGACAGTACAACATAAAAATATCATTGAATCAATGTTATTGTCTTTTCAGACGAATAGGGAGAAGAAATGAACATATATATTCATGAAATATAAAATAGGAAATATCGCCTGCAACTCAGCAAATATGAATTTACTTGATTTACCCGATGAAATTCTTCTTTGCATATTACATAAAATGAATGTTGTTGATGCATTATATAGACAAAGTGGTCTTCATCATCGACTTGATCAACTATTATTCGATGCTATCTATGTTCGTGAACTAGATTTTACAATAAAATCATGGGATAGTTCAATTTCTCCATTGAATGATTTAATAATTGATAAAGTTTGTGAAAAAATTCTCTCACGTATCAATAATAAAATTATCAAACTCACTATTGAACCATATGCATTCGAACGTATTCTTAATAATATCAGTTATCCAAAAGTTTCTTCATTATCATTAACTAATTTTTCAAGTAAAACACTTCTACAACATTTGACAGGTATAATGATTATTAATCTGAATCCTTTAAATATTGAAAGTATTCTAGGTAATGATGCTCTCATTCAACTGATCGTTAAACAAATTACGCATTTGAATATTAATATTATCGATGAAATCATAGATGAAACAGATAATAATAATGATCAGTTAAATGTATTTGAATTAATCTTATCAATATCAAAATGTTTAATTGAATTTACATTTCATCAATCGATTAAAAATAATCACCAGTGTCTTTTTATTGATCATCTATCGTCGACAAATCCTATCTGTTCTACATTGACTAAACTGGATATAGAAATCAATACATTTGACGATTGTCTTTCTCTTTTAGATGGTCGTTTTCCATCATTATCTCATTTTTTAGTGTACGTTAACTACATCTCTTCAATTTCATCAGATATTGATAAAATAGTAAATCATGTTCATCTTTAAATATAATTCATTAATAATCATCTCTTTTCTAGACAAAATTATCGAAATTAAAATATTTCTCATTGACTAATTATATTAGCACACAATTCTACAATGATCTTGTCGTGCTACTTATACAACGCATGTCTTATTTAGAAGAACTTCGTTTATTCCTGAATGTTATAAGAAAAGATACATATGAAGTTGTCGATGGAAATAATCTTTATAATGATATTCTAATTCATCTATCTCAATTGAAGATATTTCAATTTAGTATTTATACTTATCTTTTCAATACAAACGTATCAATCAATGATTTTCCTTCCAACGATGATATTCAACGTAGTTTCAATCCAAATAGATTCGGACAAATCGGATCGTATGTTCAACATACTTCAGGAAAAACTGTATATGGTTGTCATGTCTATTCACTTCCATTTAAATTCAAAACTTTCATCAGATTGAGCAACTCATTTTGAGGAGGAATATTTTATCATGTTCGAATGCTAGTTGCTAATGATCATGTACACTGGGAATATTATTTCTTCAAGAAAGTTGCTGAAAGTTTTCCTTCTCTTGAAGTATTAATGATTTGGAATTCTCATCCACAGAAAAATAAATTACAATTGAATAATAATAATAATACAGAAAACCTGCAAATGGTTACATTTCTTCGATTATTGGATCTTCGGGTGTCATTTGCACATATCGATTATATTGAACAATTGTTATTCAATCGATATACACATCTACCTCGTCTTTGTCAACTTGAAATTGACTATGAACAACTAACTATATTGACGAACAATTTTACAAACGATCAAACACAACTCAACTGTTTACAAGTACAACGTCTGATCGTCAACGAATGTTTTGTTCCTCCACACAAGTTTTTTTTGTTTTTTCCTTTGTTATAATAAATAAAGTGTTGTATAAGTTTGAAAAATTCAATTTTTTTTATGTATTAGTTCTTATTTTGTTTGATTTTAGTATGTTAAGTAAGTAGCATCTTAACTTCTCTGTGTGACACAAAAAATGAGTATTTAGTAAATTCTGATATTTAAAATACTTACATTCATTTCGAACCAAGAAAAAATTTGTCTTGTATTTATACAGTTATATTTCATGGTTTTATAACAATGCATTCGAAATATATTGTTCAAAATTCAACTGTACTATTCATATATTTCCTAGTCATCATGGAACAAAATATAACAATGAATTTTTGCTATATTTTTCACTTCATATTTTTTTTAATCAATTTATTCCATCTTTGATTATGTATTCTCATCTATACAACATATCTACTATAGAAACTCATATAATTTATTTGAATAACTGATCTGAGTACACAAACAAGACATTACAAAATTATAGTTTAATGGATATGGTGAATTACTAAACGCTAAAAATGAGAAACAGAATAAGAACAAATATCTATATATAATGATTAATAAAATATCAAACACTGTCAAAAGTTAGGATATAAGTTTATTCTAGTCATATACACATCCTCTTTAACAACCAACGAAATGGTAATGATGGCGTCTCTCTTTCATTTCCTCACGTACTACTTATATCGCTGAGTACATAAGCAGCAATATTGTGAAGAGAAATAAAGAACAAAGAGGAACGATAACACACAGTTAACTTATTATTAACTCTTGTTCTCCCAGATGAGATGGAAGAAATAGGAAATAACTTTTTCTAACCAATGTAAATATACATTATAGATTAGAACGGAAATTACAATAATCTTTCATCTCTTTCCTCTCAATGAATTATTAAAAAAAAAGGAAACGAAGGAATAATACAAATATTTTTCTTCCATAAATATGTCTCCG